ACACACGAGGAGAGAGAGAAAGATGAAGAAAAAGAGAGTAGGGAAGAGAGAGAGAGAGAGAGAGAGAGAGAGAGAGAGAGAGAGAAGCTGGGTTCAGGTAGGCTGTAAGCACTTTGCTTGAGTGGCACCAACTACACCCAGTCAACAACCTGGAACCTTTTACTGAGCATCAGAGTGTGTGTGTGTGTGCGTGTGTGTGTGTGTGTGTGTGTGTGTGTGGGAGGAAGCTGAAGTTGCTATTTTTTGTACACACTGATTAATCCTCTGTAAACATTCACACTTGGACGAGAAGAAGAAGGCTTTGTCAATTCCTAGGCTGAACCACTGGGGAATGCCTTAGGCCAATTTCTCATGGGTCTGAGGCCTTGGTCCTTGTCATGGCTGTGTCTACATCAATGATATACAATCATTTAGGACTTCATTCACTCAGGCCTTCCTCTGCTCCCTATATCCTGACAATGGGAATTGAACTCAAGTGCTTTGGAGGAGAAATATGTGCTATTAACCACTAATCATCTCTCTAGGCACCTCTATATATTTTAATAAGATCATAATTACTATAGTTAAAAAAAGCTCAAGTTATTTGGCTTTCATTTTATTGCATAACCAACCATGTAGGGCCCTGGGGGTTAAACTTAAGTTGTTAGGTTAGGTAATAAGTGCATATCTTATCCCCTGAGCCATCCCACCAGCCCATAATATTAGTTTTTATCTAATTAAAAAAACTTCTTTTCTCTGAAATGATACATTAAGCTCTTTACCATGATAAAACATTATTCAAAGTATTTCCTGAAAATATGAAATAAATGTAGTGACATTTCAATAATTTTAATTTCAATTAAAACATAAAAGGTTGATTATTAATATTTAGACAAAATCTTTTAAATTATGATCTATTTACAAACTTTTAGGTAACAGAATACTTTTGAAAAATAATAGGTGTTTGTGGTTACAATGGTAAGATAAATTGAGCATAGTATGAACAAAATAGCAAAATATCAATTTGAAAAAACATGTTTATGCATAAAACTATTAAAAAATTTATCAAAACTTGAGTGTTATTTTGGGACTGGTTTGAACTGATTTTTATTTGTTTCTTTAAACTTTTTAAGTATGTTTCTTGACAATCAAAAAAGTAAAAACTCTTTTTGTCTATTGATAATATTACTAAAAAACAACTCAAAATCTTTCATTCTATCATTTTATAAGAAAAGTAAATAGTACCTGACCTTAACAAAAGTAATTGTAAAAATGTTAGATGATAGAATCACAATTGAATTACTCTGCCCAGCATTTCCTATACATTCCTTATAAGCTATCCTAATAAAATAAGAATTCATAAAGTTCTAGAAATGAAGCTACTATTTTACCTTTTGAGAAATAATTTTTTGTGATAACTTACATTCATTCATATTGATGAACTCTTGATTGACCTCTTCATCTCCTGTCCTGTTGTCCTTGGACTTTTTAATGACATGAGCTCGGTCATGTATATGATGACCAACAGCCATTTTCTCTAGACCACTATCAGAATCTCTCACTGCTCTTCTGGTTTCTTTTATCTTTAAAATTAAAGTAAAATTTATTCAGTTAACATTTAAGCACATTAGAATGGATTTAATTCTACATTCTTCAGGGTCTATTTATTTGCTGCTCTGAACTCCATTATTTTGTACAATTAATAAGATGATTAACTATATTCAGTTCCATTATCAACTTGGTGTGGTAATAAAATTTCTAATCTTTAACTGTTTTCAATTTAACTTTTTCTAAGTTGTAAATCAATATTAAAACAGAATAGGTTATATAAAAATTAGTTATATAAAGTAAGTTATATAAAACCTTTAACACTGTGTTTGACAATGTAATGGATGGAAGCTAGTAAGTGCACCTACCTTATCATTTATGCTGAAGGGCTTGAGTCTCTTGACTCCAACCTACCAATTCCATGGAAGCATTATTAGAATGTTTATTCTAGCCAATGTGACATCTATAATTATACTCAGTTTACATTAAGACTTCACTATGTTCAGCAAAGTAAAATGCCAGTAAATTTGCTAAACAAAGCAAAGATACCACTAATAGGTGTGTTTTGCACATCAGACTTGAAAATGAATTACTTTTCATCCATTATTCTGTTAATCTAAAATCTTACTGCAACCTACAAGGCAGTGGAGAAATGGGGATTTTCATATCTCTGTAGAAGTCAAGAATTTTTATCACTATGGTAATTTTAAAGTAAAGGTGAGGGGTTATACACAACCTACAAACCCAGAAATAATATTCCTAGATTCTTATACAAGATATTGTTGATAAAATTTTGCGTTATACTTATATACTAGGTACTACATAGTAGTTAAAAAGAAAAGAAATAAAAAGCTGAGTATGGGGGCTGGAGAGATGGCTCAGAGGTTAAGAGCACCAACTGCTCTTCCAGATGTCCTGAGTTCAATTCCCAGCAACCACATGGTGGCTCACAACCATTTGTAATGGAATCTGGTGCTCTCTTCTGGTGTACAGATATACATGGAAGCAGAATGTTGTATACATAATAAATAATAAGATCTTTATAAAAAAAAGCTGAGTATGGTGGTGCACTCAGGAGGCAGAGGCAGGTGAAGCTCTATGAGTTCAAGGCCAGGCTAGTCTACATAGTGAGTTACAGGCCAGCCAGTGATACATAGTAAGACCCTGGCTCAAAACAAACAAAAACAAATTAAAATAAAAAAATAAACCTGGATTACATGTACAATTTGAGTAAATTTCTGAAACATACAACTGAGAAATGGTAAGTTTTAGAGGATACATAAAATAATGATACTGTTTGTATTAAGTTTAGAACTCTATAAAATAATCTTGTATTTTATTCTGTATTCATAAACAATAAAATGTACAAGTATGATAAGCTCCAGGTATAGGAAAATGGTTGTCCCCTGAGAGACAGGAAAAGTGATCTTAGAAGATTTATATCTGTTACAATCATACTCAAAAAATAAAAAAGAAAAGTCTTAAAGGAAATAGAGAAAAATGTTGATTTAACTAAACCATGTGATGGGAATATGGGTTTATTATACATCCTTTCTGTATACTTTAAATGTTTTATTAGTTTAAAATTAACTTCATATATAAATTATAAGTAGACATTTACTTCATAAAAAAGGCTTCTTTTAGTTTCTATCTTATCAATGTATAGATGTAATAAAGATCAATAGATAATTTTGTGATGGTCACCTTCATGGGTGATAAACAACTTCCATCAACTAATCACAGTTGGACACTAATAGTTTCCATAGTAGTGAGTGCCTTTTTACCATGCCTCCCTCCCATGCCCTGCCCCCTTCAGACAGACAATCTACTTTTTTTAAAAAAAAGATTTATTTATTTATTATGTATACATCGTTCTGTTTCCATGTAATCCTGAAGGCCAGAAGAGGGAACCAGATCTCATTATGGATGGCTGTGAGCCACCACCACATGGTTGCTGAACATTGAACTCAGGACCATTGGAAGAGCAGCCAGTCCTCTGAACCTGAGCCATCTCCAGCCCCGACAATCTACTTTTCTATAACTTAATAAAACACTAGGAATATTTTAAAAATACTCAAAGCTAGGCATGGTAGTTCATACCAGCAATTCCATACTTAGGAGACTGAGGCAGGACTTCTCCAAATTTGAGGCCAGCTGAGGCTACACAGAATGACTTTGTCTAAAAACAACAGAAATAAAACTTACTCCTCCTGGAGCCATACGGGTTTGAGTTGAGGCCTGGAAAACCTTTGGTGGTTCATCTCCTACTTTGGAATATGTCATAACAGAGGAAGAACAAAATGAATGTCCATTTGGATCCATTGAAAGCTGACCCTCGTGACAAAGGAAAGTGTAAATTAAGATTCTAGTTAAACATGAAAAATGAATGCCAAGAGTTCAAATAAGCAACAACATTAGCTATATATAGTTATCAAAATGGAACTGGATGTCCTAATCTACTTCTGTTTGGGGGGCAAATTTCTATTTTTTCTGTAAAGAATAACAAGTGAGTCACATATCTCAGCCTGTGTGGCTGAGATTTAAATAAAGATGATACAGTCCCTTAGGCAGAGGCCATCCCTTGTACAGTCTTGCCAATCTAGATCAAGTGAATTAGGTATGCCTAGGAACTTTCATATTTTCTTTGGGTACCAAATTGATACATTCCTAAAACCACTGCTAATACCCTAGATTTTAGTGTTCTTAAATGATTCATAGAATTCAAAATGGATATTGCAATGATACATGTTACCTTCAGATCAAACCAAGTTACTTGTTTTGATGCTAATATAAGCAGAACAGCAGGAGTACTAATATTTGTTAATAACATCTAGAATGTATGGATCTAATCTAGCATCCAAATCATTTCTGCTTTCAGAGATTTTTTTAAATATTAAATTTTAGTTAATTACATGTAATGCAACTTGTAAATAGGTAACAATAAAATATGAAAATTTATAGAAAATGTACAATAGTGGCTTAAGAATATTTTGAGGTTAGATTTTCTTTAATTGTGTGTAAGCCAACTAATGTAACTTTTCAGACTTTTAGGTTATAAAATAAATTAATCAAATATACTTATAATTTTTTAATTGATTAAGAGAAAATATCAGTAAGCTGATATTATCATAATTATAATATCCTAATATAATATCACTTTTGTTTCAGGAATAAATTATGCAAGAACCAATTATATAAGAATTGTACATGGGTTAATTATATAACTTATAAAAGGCTATTAATCATGTAATAATGCTAATTAATACATACGATAATCATGTAATATTGTATACGGGTTAATCATATAACCATAACTTTGCTATTTTAACTATGGTTAAAGATGTTTGAAAATCACTACAATATAGGATGTCAATAATGGAAAATAATGTTCTCATAAGTTTCTTTTTAGTACTTACAAAGTTTCTTTGTAACTCCTGCATACCATTTTGCATATTGAACATCATCCGATCCATTGCCTGAAAAGGGCTGACATCTGTATGCTACAGGATTTTAGGAAGTATGTTATTAACTATAACACCAAAGCAAATAAATTTTTTCAAAACAGTTGAAAAAAATCCCCCAATTTTCTGTATCATGCAGTAATCAACTAGGCAAAAATAACTGAAGGACTACACAATGAGAGTTAAAGAAAAAAAAAAGCCTATGCAAAAGTGCAAAAAGCCAATACAAATTAGGGAATTACACACTGCAAACATATATGCACATTATATACCTAGGTATATGTTTGTATATATACTTATACAGATATATTATCATTTGTGAGCTTTCTTAAACCAGAGTTCTTCTTTTTCCCCCATGCTTTTCTTATCTTCTTCTTACTAACCCTTAAGGTTCAAAAAGTCTTCTCTAGGGAGAGGTGGCTAAGATGGCACATATTGCTCTTGTGTAGGGTCTCAGTTCAGTTCCTAGTAATCAAGAAGCTTATTACTGCCTAGAATTCTAACTCCAGCTACCAAGTATCTGACATTCTCTCTTTGGCTCCTATTAGTACATGACATTCTCTCTTTGGCCCCTATTAGTACTACACTGATGCGTACAAGTCTCCATACATAAGCAAAAATTTTTAAGAATCACCTCCGATTGATCTTCACCATTACACTCAAAAGTTTTGGGTTGTGGGCTTGTACTCTGTGTACTACCACAGTGTGAACTTCCTCATTATTTTCCTAGTATCTTGGTGATATATTACATTCTTTTGGAACTAGTTCCTCAGGAAGGACAAATATTACATCTCAAACTTCAGAGACACAAATAACTCAAATTTAGTGCAAAATAATGAAAAGTTTTTCGTGAAAATATATACAAATATTCTAAATTTATTATGTCCTAATCCTTGGGTTACTTTTTGGTGTTAGAAACTAGTAGAACTGATGGAAGCTAAAAGGTTGGCTGTTCTATCAAGAGAAACCAAGGACTCCTTGGAAACAAAGTCAGAGAGAAAATGGCCAATCTTGAGTTCTTTTTGTTTTTGTTTTTTGTTTTTCTCAAACATTATGCTTTGTTACTTTGTGGAAAGTCATTATAGGCATTTGGGAGTCCAAGTCTGAAATACAATTACTGAGTTTCTTTGAAAAACAAGTAAATGTTCCCCAAAAATCTAGTTTTCCATTTCTGAAGACAAATGTTTTATTTTGATTTACTTACTGTAACCATCTGGGCCAGTGGTTCTCAACCTCTTTGGCAAACTATCTCCAAAAAATAATTTTCATTACAATTTGTACAGTAGCAAAATTACAGTTACGAAGTAGCAACAAAAGTAATTCTATGGTTGGGGGGCTCACCACAACATGAGGAACTGTATTATAAGGTTGCAGCATTAGGAAGGTTGAAAACCACTAATCTTGACAAAAATGAAGGTATTCTAAAAAATATATTTGTGCCTCTCTGTGGCTATCAGACTACTGAAATAATCCCCAAGAAACTGGATTTTTCTCAGGAATTTCATGGTAGGAAAATGAAAAGGCTGAAGGCTGATACTAGGCAATAGAAGAATTTAGTTATGACAACTTGAGAGATTCTTTGCAGGAGAGAATGGAGCAGAGACAAGAATAGGTCAGTGATGGCTGGGACCACACAGTGACTAGGACTGCTTATGTAATACACACACCATCCACATCAAAATACCAGGTAAAGACCCTGGAAGGTGGATTTGGGAAGGTCTCTGGATTTTAGTTCTTCCTAATGTGGCAACATTGAATACATCTCCTTTGTTAGCTTTTCACTATTGTCTGTTTAATTGGCCTACTGATGATCAGTGAGTAAGTCTGGCTTATTTGTGCTGTCAGGCCCAGGCTCTGACCCTAACAACACTGGTAATTACTTTAGAAAGTCCATGTCTAAGCACTCAGGTAAATTTAACACATGAAACAAAGGTCTCCAGTATGAAGCTTAACAGCCATTATGGAGGTTAATGAGATGCATGCAAACTCACTCTGCTTGAGTTAATTAAAGTATCTGTTAAAAATATAGCTAAAATAATTTGTCTCATGACACGAACCATACCACCAAACCTTCCAAAAGGCACAAGAGAAAAACTTGTTGCCTAGAAAAATAATATACAATAAATTTTGGTTGCATTTATTATATTGGCATAGCTAAAATATAAAATTGCACTGCACAGCCATATAACTCAGCCATATAGCTACCATCATTACAGAAATTTTTAATAAAAAATTCTCAATGTGTATTTTAAAAATTATCTGTTTATTATGCATTGTAGCATCTGTCTGGCCAGCAAATAAAGAAGCTACAGTATTACTGAAAATATGACTATTTTAGAAAGAAAGAATTTGCTATAGGCTAAGAAAAACATTTCAAAAGTAAAGTATAATGATTAGGAAATTAAAGCATTTTCTATTACTATTGCTATTCCATATTTTTTAATGATCCACTACTTTTAGAACAGGAACATGTTAAATGCACCAATAAAATTCTTACTCCTATTTATTTGTATTGAAAGAAAAGATTAGATGCCCACTGATGTATCACCTAATCTATATGTTGTATGTTGAGTTATAAGGTAACTAGCAAGTTTAAATATCAGATTATCTAGTTTTTATTTATTTATTTTTTTTTGGAGACAGTATCCTAGTTTGGGTTACTATCACTGTGACAAAACACCATAACCAAAGCAACTTGGGGAGGAGAGGGCTTATTTGGCTGAGGCTTCCAAATTACTGTTCATCATCAAAGGAAGTCAGGACAGGAACTCAAGCAGGAACCTGGAGGCAGGAGCTGATGCAGAGGTCATGGAAGGTGCCACTTACTGGCTTGCACTGTCTACTGTTTATAAGCTATTCATTCTAAAGTGTTTCGTTATAGCCACCCAACTACACATGAAAATAAGGGACCAATCACTTTAAAATTTCATTTAAATGTTGGCCCAGAACTTTTTTTTGGCGGGGGGTGGGGTGGGGTGGGGGACAAGGGTTTCTCTGTGTAGCTTTGGAGTCTATCCTGGAACTCCCTCTGTAGCTGAGGCTGGGATTAAAGGCATGCACCACCACCACCACCACCAGGCTTGAAGTTTCTTTATATTCAGAATTATCTTCCTACTTGACTTTCCCATTTAATCATTACATTTATGTATTTCTTCCAAATGTCTTCCTTTTGATTTGAAGAAACTTTGGCAAGATAAATATAATTTGAAGAATACTTACACACAAATAGTTCTAAATAATGTATCTTGCCAACTAGTTTCACAGAGATGTTATCTATTAGGTTATACATTTCTTATTCCAGTTCCTCTTAAACATTTAATGGTTTTAGTAAGTGTCTGTGGAAGAGACAGTTATTTCTGCTCCAACAGACTACCAATGGAGTTACTGCTTATTTGTATAAACATTTTCAATACATTTCCAGCTGAATTATAAGCTTTCTTCATGAACTCTTGTAAGTAGCTCATTTATGCATATAAATCCAAAGAGATATATGTTTGATATGGTTACAGCAAATACAGTTAGTATTTTAATACTCAAATGATTTTCAATATTCATAATTAATGTTCTCTTGCACTGTCAATTTTTCCTACTATTAATTTTTAGCTGTTAGGAAATAGATTAAACTGAAAATTATATATATCTCACAATGTAACATTAGTTTATAGTATTATACAGTGCCTATAAATGACACTATTTACTAATGAAAAGGAAAGTAACAAGTGTGATTATGCAAAAGTTACTCTTATTTGAAATGGCACATGTAATTTTATTTATCAGGTTTTATGATGATGCAAACTATTTTGCTCTCATTATGCTTATTATGCAGAAAATATGAAAATGTTTTTCTAGAGTAGTCTAGAATTCTGTGAATTGATTAATCATGTTTGCTGAACTCTAAATATCTATATTTCAATTGTGAAGATCCATTTTTATGGAATTCCCTATGGATTCTGTAATTGCCATTCTGAGGGGTGAAAAATAACAGAAAGAGGGGATAAAACCAAAATGGTTAACACACAAATGTAAACTATCTTTTCTTCACTAAATTGAGTATGTTTATATCCTCCCAGTTTGGCAGTTATACAAATCTTCTAATATAAAGATTAGTCTACATTTTGAATGTCTAATGTGTCCTAACAAAAACTTAGTGGTCCAATAAAGATAAAATACCACACAAGGGGCCAGAGAGATGGCTCAGCGGTTAAGCGCACTGACTGTTCTTCCAGAGGTCCTGAGTTCAATTCCCGGCAACCACATGGTGGCTCACAACCACCTTGAATGAGATCTGGTGCCTTCTGCTGGCGTGCAGGCAGAAGACTGCATACATAATAAATAAAATCTTAAAAAAAATACCACACAAGATTTTGTTACTACTTAAAACTCTGAAGTTTGTGGTACCAGGAGTTCTTGCTGGTTTTAATTCAGCACATAGGAGGAAGTTCTCAGAGGGAAAATATGCAAGAAACAATGGCTTAGTATGGCTTATAATTGTATAACCTTATGATCCTAAAATTTTAATAGCACAAAGCAATTCTGTACCATTAACATTCATTGTTCCAAGTTTAAGCTTTTCAACATGCATCTCCTTTTATATAATAAATATTTCCATGACAGAAGTATTAGTCTTACCCTATATTATAAGTATGTAACTTATATAAAATTTTTGTCCTGTTCTTACAGAGCTTTCTTGCTGTCTTTAAAATAACTCACAGTTAAGGAATCTTCATCATTATGTCCTCTATGATTATGGGTTCTTCTTCTCCCATCACAGATACTGAGCGTGTCTCTTCCAAAAGGTTCAGAGAAACTTCTCATCATGTGGCGCATATTTTCTCGGTGTGCAAGAAAGGAATCACTGTTGAAAATACAGAATAATGGAAAATTGAATGTTATAACTTAAGAAAAACTGGTTTATAAACCTTGGGAGTTAATATAATTGTTAAGGAGACAAAATATTATAATTTAGAAGAAGAGATTTGATAAAAGACATAGTATCATAATCATAAAATCATAAAATAAGTAAAATCCTATTCTATTTGCTATCCACTATAGTTATTATACTAATAAAATATACTTTCATCTCATGTTGTATAAAAATGGTAAATACAAATTACCCTATCATAAGTAGTTTAAGAAGAGGAAAACTGTGAAAAAAATCAGAAAAATATTTCTATCAGGTAAGACCACTACAGGATGTCTATAACTTAATTCTACAAGGTTAATAAAGAATACTCCAAGCCACGCATTGGTGGTGCACACTTTTAATCCCAGCACTTGGGAGGCAGAGGCAGGAGGATCTCTGTGAGTTCAAGACCAGCCTGGTCTACAAGAGCTAGTTCCAGGACAGCTTTCAAAGCCACAGAGAAACCCTGCCTTGAAAAACCAACAACAACAGAAGAGAATACTACATAGGCATCAAATAACCTACAAAAGTTGTCCTTTTAAATTGAACATACACAAATAAAAGTTTGGAAAGGAGCTCTCCTGAAATATAATTATAATAATACTGGTTGGGGCTGGAGAGATAACTCAGTAGTTATCTCTGGGGTATCCTAGTATCCCCAGAAGACTAACAACTGCATCTCACTATAGTTCTAGGGGACCCAACACCTTCTTCTGGCTTCTACAGGCTCCCCCCCACACACACACACACAAAATCTTAACAAAAAATAACACAATTTTTAAATTTTCCTTACTAAGAGTTTATCATTGAATAGGAGCACTAAGAACCATAGCTATGTTAAAGAGTACTATAAAAGTACCAATTATATCTGCATAGTCAAAGCCAAAGGTAATTTTTAAAAGGCTAATTATTTTTTTTTCAAGACAGGGTAGCCCTGGCTGCCCTGGAACTTACTCTGTAGACCAGGCTAGCCTCAAACTCACAGATCCACCTGCCTCTGACTCCCAAGACTTGGGCTTAAAGATGTGTGCCACCATGCCTTGCTTCTAAGGCTAATTTTTATTTCTAGTAATTCTAATACTACAACCATCAAAATATCTCAATATCAAGCCTCAAGAAATGTCAAACTTCTTTGAAATTATCAAACCAACTATCAAGCTGGTAAACAATATGGATTCCTGTTCATACCTAGCATGACAATCAAATATACTGGCTCTGGATCTGATTTACAAATATGTATCCCTGGTACTTTTAACTCAAATAGGTCCTTATCAATCTTTGAGGAACAAGGTCCTCTATGGCTCTGTGGTACCTGAATTAGAATTTGAGCATTCCTTCTGTGGACAAGGTTTCACAACTACAAAATAAGGATAGTATCAAATATTCCTATTATCAAGATCAAACTACGTAACCTGAAAACACAAAATATATTATGTGATACATTAGTAAGTTTAGTAAATGTTCATTTCTTTTCCTTTCACTTTCTCTCTCATGTATGGACACTATTCCCTATTGTTCTAGCATTAGATGCTTCTCAGGGAAAGAGATTTTACATTAAAAACACGAAGAAATGATAATGTTCCAGCCCCTCTTCTATGTACTTAACATACTTGTTAACTTTTTCATTGCAATTCCTATTCAAAAACCTAAAAATTGTAATACTTCATCACAATAGTTTTCCAATATTTTCCAATTATAAATACACTAACCAGTGAGTCAATAACTTACTTTTCATTTTAGAAAGCATAGCATGATTGTGACTTAGTTTACCCAGTTAACATTATGTCTCTCCTTGCTATCTAACTGAATTCCCCACAACAGTGTGGCCTCCTTCCAGAATTCTCCACTTCAGTTACCATCTATAAATTCTTTTGTCAACCCAGTTCTAATCCTTTGACATTATCACAATAAAGGCCTAAAAAGCCAACATCTGCCAGTAACCTCAGAAAGAAAGGGCTTTTTTTTCTAGGGAATTATATAGCATCAGCTCAAAATTCAATCCTACTAGCAAGATTCAGATTTCTTCATACATCATCTTGGAAGTTAAAAAAAGTAGCATGTGGCTGAAAACCTGCTCAGTTTGCCTATCATATATGAGGCTCTAGGTTCAATCTCTAGCACCAAAATTATTTTTTCATTGTATAATCATGGTGTGTTATGGAATGGGTCATATAAGGACATTTATTACAACTATGTAATATACTTTGAGAGAGTATTCCTGCCTGTTCAGATCAGACTGTGCCTTACTCTAAGTTATTCCATATTATATACAAAGAAGTGATTTTTAAGGCCCTAACTTGCTCTGGGTGGATTCAGAAACTGTACCATCTGTTAGGTACCACCCATCTAGCACAGACTGATAAGTGACTTCTTGGGAAAAGAAAGGGAGCTACCTCTGTAAGATCTGGACCTGATTTGCATCCTATGGTTGGGCCTTTCAGTTGGGCTTCACTGTCAAACCTGACTCCTGGGAGCCCTTCAGCAGCTCCTGAAGCAGCTCCCTCATAGGACTGTACTGGTTCCTTATCTCATCAGTACAGATGCTTTCTTAGCCTATTTCTGAACACGTGAACTCTGCTTCAACTTCTTCAACTTGTATTCATTCTGTAACCAATACATGTGCATAGATACAGATATGTACTGTGTGCTGTGTAATATAAAAGTTAATATCTGTAATTAGGACTGGAGTAAAAGAACCTTGGTCTCAGGCTACCAAGTTAGGTAGATAATATGACAAATTGCTGTCACTGAAACTGCTAAGCCTTATGGATTTGTTACTTAATAAATTCTGACATTGTAGAAGGACACACATTAAATAGGTTTCTATGTTTTTGGCTTAGTATAGTCACAACATTGCCTCCCATTGTTCCCTCCTTCTGTTCTAGGTAGTTTCATATTTGTTTATCTATATAATCTAAGGAACTACAATTGAGAGAAAATTATATTTGTTCTTCTGAGATTGACTTAATTTGCATATTATGTTGACTTCTAGTTGTACACATTTTCCTGAAAATGACAGGCCTGAAAAACATCCATTGTGTATACATACCACATTTTCTTTATCCATTCCTCTGTTGATGGACACTTAGCTTAGTTCCATAACATAGCTACTGTCAACAGTGCTGCAATAAAAAACTTATATGCAAGTACCTCTGTAATAAATTAAAGTATAATAATAATAATAAACAGGAACAGTATATATAGGTATATGGTAGACTACCTTTAGTTTGAGGAGCCTCAATACAGATATTCATAGTGGTTGGAAAAGTTCACATTCCCATCAGTAATATATAATGGCTCCCTTTTGTTCATATCCTTACCGGAAGTGGCTTTTTCTTGCTGACTGCTGTGGTGGTTTGAATGAGCAGTGCTTCCACAGGGCTCATATATTTGAATACTTGATCCTTAGTTTAGTAAAAATGTTTGGGAAAGATTAAGAGATGTGGCCTTCTTGGAAAAGTCCTATCACTGGGGATGGGCTTTGAGGTTTAAAAAACCCACTCAATGCACAATTAGTGCACTTGCTCTGCCTTGTTGTTGTCTCAACCTGTTAAGTTCTCAGCTATTGCTCCAGAGCCGAACCATTCCTGTCTGCTTACCACCATGATGGCCATGGACTAACCATCTTAAACTTCAGGCAATTCCTCTGTATACTCTATTGTAAGTTGCCTTGATCAGACAACTGTCATTCTGACTGGGGTCAGAAGATATCTCAACATAATTTTAATTTGTATTTTTCTGGAGGGTAAGACAGTTAACATTTTAAATGTTTATTGGTCATTTGTTATTTCATCTTTTAATAATAGTTTGTTCACTTCATTACTTCATTTACTAATTAAACTGATTTCTTGTAACTTAAAATTTGAGTTCTTTGCATATTCCACATATTAATCCCATCAGATGTATAGTTAACAAAGATTTTTCTCCCATTCTGCAAACTGGCTCTTTACACAATTGTTTCCTTTGCTGTACATCTTTTTTAACTCCATGTAGTCAATTGTTGGCATTATTTCCTGAGCAACTAAGTCTTAGTAGGAAAGTCCTTGTCTATGTCTACATCGAAGTGTTTTATTCCTCTGCTTCAGAGTGTGAAGTATTACAGTAAGGTCTTTGATCCATTTGGAGTTAACTTTTGTTCAGTATGAGCAATAAGAATAGTTTTTTTTTTGTTTTTTTGTTTTTTTTTTGGAATGTGGATGTCCAGTTTTTGTTTTTGTTTTTGTTTTTGTTTTTTGTTTTTTTTTTTGGCTTTTCGAGACAGGGTTTCTCTGTAGCTTTGAAGGCTGGTCTGGAACTCACAGAGATCTGCCTGTCTCTGCCTCCCAAGTGCTGGGATTAAAGGAGTGTGCCACCACCTCCCCGGCTCCTGGCGTAGTTTTTCAAGAGGGCGTATATAAAGAACAGCTGTAGTTGCACAAGTTCATATTTAAGTTCTCTATTCTATTTTATTGATCTACATGTCTTTTTGTACCAGTACCATGCTGTTTTCATTACTATGGCTCTATGGTATAATTTGAAATTAGGTATAGTGTTGCCTCCAGCATACATTTGGTTATCTGGAATCTTTTGTGCTTCCATACAAATTCCAAGATATTTTCTATTTCTGTGAAAACATTAGAAATTTGAAGCAGACTATACCAACTCTGAAGATTGTTCCTGGGAATATAGCCATTTTCACAGTATTAACTCACCTATAGTCTCTTTACTGTTTTCACTGTAATGACCATTCCCTTTCTTAGGTTTATTAAGATAATTGTTTCCCCAGCTTTTTCTGCATGTTTCTTATTTACATATAGGAAAATTACTGATTTTTTAAATGTTAGTTTGGTGTCTAAATTGCTGGAAGTGTTTACCAGTTCTAAGAGTTTTCTGTTAGATTTTTTTATGGTTTCTTATGTGTAGGATCATTATGAACTTCAAATTAGGATACTCTGACTTCTTCCTTTCCTATT